CTTTTCTTTTCTTTTCTTTTCTTTTCTTTTCTTTTCTTTTCTTTTCTGTTCTTTTCTTTTCTTTTCTTTTCTTTAGATTAATGTCTTATTGAAAATTTTTAGACTCCATCTTAATCCCTCAATCTTGCATAATATGTCTGCCCTGTTTTTCGTTTTTCGCTTCCTTAATCGGTTTAAGCGCTTAGCTCGTGTTTAACACCTTAGAAAAATTCGAAATCTCGTGCACCCGCTTTATCTTAATTGTCTGCTGTGTGTCTCGTTTCTCATCATTTACATCGCTTGTAAAGCAAGAATGCTTATAGATTTAGCGTATTACTTACGTATTATTTACGTATTTGTTTTGATTTATTAATTTTTATCACGGATTTCGCTTTTTCGGTATAAAAAATATTTGTTTTAACTTTTTATTTATTTTGTGTGTGTATGCATGTACTTTTCAATGGCTTCTAAATTTTTGTGTCATCATATTGTATCTGCTATGCGTATTTTTTTGTTAAAGCTTTCGTTGCATTTACTCCACTCTCCCTTTTGCTCTGAACCATGCGTTGTTTTAACGTTTAAATTGTCGCTTTGTTTGCATTTCCTCAACCCACCGCATAGTGAGTTTGGTGAAAATAAAATAAACGAAATAAAGTTTTTATTTCGTTTCAGGTGCATGAAAGTTTATAAAAAAATTTGTTAAAAACACATACATATGTACATGTGCATCGTATATTAGATGATTGATAGATTTTAATGTAAAAATTATTTTGGAACGTGCAGAATTACAATTCCTCTCCTTAAGATGAGTTAGCTAAATATGTAACGGTCCCACCTCCCGTGTCTACAGTAGCCTTTTTTATACTCTATTTATTAACCTTTCGCATCGACACAGGCAAATAAAGAATTCGGACCAGCAGTTTTTTATACCAAATCAATATTTGCCACACAAACCTAACCTCAAAAAAGGCCGTTGAGGAAAAAAAGCTATGGTAAATTGAAGTAAGAAATAAACGGGACAATATTAAATTTTTAAAACTTTATAACCATCGCAAACATAATTTTTTCCGCTCATGGCATCGTATTTATAGCTAAAGTTGGTATGATCGACTATACTAGTCTAAAAGCTTCAGTACCAACATAGCTATCAGGCGTCGAAATCTAGTGAGACGGCTCTGCCTGGTTGCCATCACTAAGAATGAATTCGACTGAGCCTTTTTATAGATGCTGAGGGTGCTTTCCATTATGCCCCCTTCGAGAGGATGGACAACTAAGCTCTACGTCATGGAGTAAATTCTGTGCATTGGAGTCGTTCAATGTCCGCGCAAATCGTCCTTAGGATTCAGTTTTATTTTTCCACTTAAAAAATTGATGCAACCAAAAAAACTTGTGATTAGAACAGTTTGGAAATCATTCTTTTTGAGGTTTTTTAATAATCTTCTTCTTCTTCTTTTTTGGCACTGTAACCGCCTAAGGGATTTTGGCCGAGTTCAGCAAAGCACGCCAGTCGTTTCTCCTCTGTGCCAACTGACGCCAATTGGAAACGCCAAGTGAAGCCAAGTCCTTCTCCACCTGATCTTTCCATCGCAGTGGGGGCCTCCCTCTTCCTCTGCTACCACCAGCGGGTTCCGAGTTGAATACTTTCAGAGCTGGAGCGTCGGTGTCAATTCGAACGACATGACCAAGCCAGCGGAGCCGCTGTATTTTAATTCGCTGCACTATGTCCATATCGTTGTAAAACTCATACAGCTCATCGTTCCATCGTCTGCGGTACTCGCCGTCGCCAACGCGTAAAGGACCGTAAATCTTCCGCAAAATCTTTCTCTCAAACACCCCAAGAGCCGCCTCATCGGATGTTGTCATTGTCCATGCTTCTGCGCCATATACCAGCACGTGCATGATGAGTGACTTATAGAGCGTGGTTTTCGTACGTCGAGAGAGGACTTTACTCCTGAATTGCCTACTCAGTCTAAAGTAGCACTTGTTGGCAAGAGTGATTCTACGTTGGATTTCAATGCTGACATTATTATCGGTGTTAATGCTGGTTCCCAAGTAAACGAAATTCTCTACTTTCCCGAAATTGTAACTGTCAACAGTGACGTGGGTGCCAAGGCGCGAATGTTCTGACTGTTTGTTTGATGACAGGAAATACTTCGTCTTGTCCTCGTTTACCACCAGACCCATGCGCTTTGCTTCCCTATCCAACTTGGAAAAGGCAGAACAGACTTCGCGGTTTTTGTTAGCGATGATGTCGATGTCATCGGCATAAGCCAGCAATTGCACGCTCTTGTAGTAAATTGTTCCTGAGCGGTTCAGTTCTGCAGCTCTTATTATCTTCTCCAACATCAGATTAAAGAAGTCACATGAAAGGGAGTCGCCCTGTCCGAAACCCCGTTTTGTGGCGAACGGCTCGGAGAGGTCTTTTCCAATTCTTAATAAAAATCAATAATAATAAGTTTAAATAGCGGCAAATCAGCTGCACTTGATAGTAGTTGGTTGAAAGAAGTCTGATGAGGAGATGTGGTGATCTCCGAAATAGCAGCTATAACTATAACTATTGCTTTTTCATTTTTTCCTAATAAACAAAGGTGATACAAAGCTCAATAAAAATATTAAAAATAATCAGATTTTTTTTTTGTAAGTCAACCGTGCTCGTACATGGCGTATGAGTAAC